TACATAAGTCAAGGACGTACTGTAAGGCTAAAAGTACTTGCTTGTATTTAACCTTCATTTGATATACAAATAACATGCTTAAAACTTGTCAAGTGAAATTAAAGTTCAAAATTTCCATTGTGCCTAACTAGTTGTATTAAAACAAGGAGTTAACCTTAGACCCTAGACGCTTCGCTTGGCAATGTCTAAATATGTAATGTCTAGATTGCTAGGAACAAGATTTACGGTGTTACAAATGTCTTTTAAATACCTAGGGCAGTCTGCGTTCAGAATGATTCCCAGACGTTCTTAAAATACACATCACAAACCATCAGACTCATCAGTATGGACGTTAATAAATGCTTTTGAGATAACTAAGTTTCAGCCATTTGCAATCCGCCATTTTATATGTGTCCCATTTGTTTTGTAATAGATAAACATAATTTAGGAATATGTATTTTTCGTTTTGAAATATAACTAGGTACACTGTAAAGACTTTATTTACACTTTTATTTACACTTACTTAAGTATTTTAATATAATTATTTGCATAAATAATACTGTATGCATATATCTCCATAAATGTAGTCAATATTTATACGGAAAATAAAATATAAAAAAAATTATCTACACATAGTATAAAACGAAGTTGAATGTGCTTTTAAATCACACAACCGATTTTAATGCGGTTTTCATTTTTCATACATCGGTTTTCATACAGAGCTAATCAACAAGGGGGTTTATATGTAAAATACAGGAGCACGCGGGCGAAGCCGCTGACGGAAAGGTAGTAAATTGATAAAAACTAATAAAATCTATAAATTGATAATGGTATTGTTTTCACAAATTTCTAGCTAGCTCCCTAGTTATAAGAAGCGCATATTTTAATAATTTAGGTATGTTACATACATACGAAAAGTTTTTATTCGGTAATCGGATACTTTAAGTCAGCGGGCTTCGATAAAAGTAATCGAAGAATAAAGTTGCCAACCCCTACGTCGTGAAAATTTAATGCCACTCAAGAAGCCTTGCCAGATTATAGCAGTTAATCCGATCCACACGATAGCGGTTTTAAACTACAAACCATAAAATATTTTATGTGCTGATATTTTTTTTAGTTCATTATTTCATTTTTTCTCTTTCGGACATTATAATGAATATTGTTAATTTTTTAATTTTTTTTTTATGTTCATGGTTTGGAGAATCTGTTCATGAGGTGGACAATATTACTTCGAATTGTCACAACTAATTCTGTACAAACTCTATCTATTCCTTGGCTCAATCTTAGCTTAGAATTCAAATAGTTAGTTTTTTTTTATTTTATTGAATCTAATTTGGTCTTAGGGATGATAAATAGATTTTGTATCGGTCAGATCTACTATAGTATAGATTTATGACTTGAAATTCTGTTATTCTTAAAATTATTGTAGGGTTCATTAATTTATTTATTACAATAATGAACGTGAAGAACCAATTCTTATAAAACATACTCATCCCCGCGCCCTCGAAAGTCCTTCTCAAAGTCGTGACCTGACTACCTTGCCTATAGCGGAGTTAGCACTAGGATTAATCTAGATGTGTGTTTCAGCGCCATATTTATTGTTTTAGGTACAGCCAAAAGCACGTCAGATTACAAAAATCTGTCAAATTTCTCTATTTTAATGCCGAATAGAGAAATTAAACGTTTTAAAATCAACCGTGATAATTTGATATATTGTAATAATCTGACGTGCAGCCATGTGTACATTCAACAGCACGACAGATTATACAAAATCTATCAAATTTTCCACTTTATTCTAAACCTTAAATGTTTGAGAGTAAAGTTTAAAATTTTGACATATTGTGGTAACTTGACGAGGCATATTCATATTTGTATCCTGCTCGTCATAATAATACATTAAGTACCAGTTTTTAGCACATGATTATTGAAGTCCGAAATAACGAAGGTACTACAATACCCAGACGTTCGTTCAAACTGTACATTCACCCAATCGGGAGTTGAACCCGGGACTCAGAAATAGCGACACCTTGAAGCCGTCTTGCGAGCGACTCGGCCAAGGAAGGTTATAATAGTGAGGTAATCTAAATTTAATTAATTTCTAGCTAAGCAGGTAACTTTAATGTTACAAACTAGAGAGACTAATACTTAGGATTTGGGAGTAATGGCGGGACTTATATTTAGTTAAACTTTAGAGCAGGGTACCTGGCAGTCCTTTTCTTTTGTTCACTGCACGTAATAGAGCTATCATTCTTTTCAATATGAAATATTTTAAAAATAATTAGAACAATCACTTTCTCACGCGCATTATTTTTATTCGAGAGTTTTCTAAGTCGTATTTTGTAAGACCGTGAGGCGATAACTGACAGCTCCATCTTTTTATTTTTTATTGAGGATTATGACAATGGACGTTTATCACTCACTCACTCACTCATCACGAAATCTCAAAAACTACAAGTGCTATTAGTTTCAAATTTTACATGCGGGTTCTCTTTACGACGTAAAAAATCCCGTCTTAGTGAGCACTAAGACGGGATTTTATAAAACTCAACCCCTAAAGGGGTAAATTAGACGATATAAGTTTTTATGGAATTTTGTCATTTCTGGACTTAAAACGCGGACGAAGCCGCTGACGAAAGGCTACTATAAATATAAATTTATATTACCGGCGCGCCGTTAACATAAATTTATATTAATACTAGCCTTTCGTCAGCGGCTTCGTCGGCGCAAACACAAACGCTACAAACACAGCCCGTATCAGTATCAATATCAGTTATTCCAATTACGAAATAACTATGTTCAGAATCGATGAGATTTTTTAGAATTGGATTCAATACTTACCGGTCTGAGAACTTAATATGAAATAATGTTATAGTGAAATAACATTGCACATAAGTAATCTCGCCACCCACAGCGAGGCAGGTCCGCGGGGAGCCAAGGCCGGCTCACAATGCTCTACACTTGCACAGTTCTTATTGCCCACCAATACTATTCAATCTCACTATCTTTTTTATATGGAACTAGTTTCCTGCGCTTGCCTCACTCATAGGAGACTTTAGTTTATAGCCTACAATGATATCTAATTCAGTCAAGTATCTAAACACATATTCTTAATATAAAATTACCAGCATCGATAATTTTACATATGTATACAATATAATGTAAAAATGCATCGTGGTTTGGAATACCAAATCTAAATTTCTATAAATAATACAATAAAATAAAAAAATTGCAGACATGATTGCACCTATGTAATTATTGATTGAGCTTAGCTTGCTATTAGTACTTGGTTTTCTCAATGAATATTTGAAAGGACGCGCATAAAGGCTTCTCATATGAGAAACCACCCGTTACGATTGAAAATTTATATCCTACGAGTGCAATGTGACTGCGAGGAATGCGCCCACTACACTGCTGGCCGATGTAAATGCCCTTTCTGCATACCAACACAGATAGAATAAGTTTTCTAGACGTTGAATCTCCCGGTTTAGAAACATTATATTGACACTACTACTACTGATGCTTTCTAAAGGCCAGTTTGTATTGTTGCATGTAAACGACAGTAGCCTTCTTGCCTTTTCCCACTATAATAATACAATTTATTTATTATTATTCTCTGAACATTAGAACAATGTAAGGAAAATATATCTAAGTTCCAATCAATTTTGTATTTTGGAAATGTTAGACAACACATGTCCTTTGTATTGTTTTATCATTTACATTATTAAATTCTATTTCTAATTTTAATTAATAATTATATGCTTAGCAAGCGAATGTCACCAGTCCATCCCCGCTGATTCCGATAAAGTAATTAATTATCATTTGAAACCCATTTCGGCCGGGAATTGTGCGAAAGGTTAAATCCCAAGTCAAATGGCACAGGATTTCTTGTGAATATAAATTTTCAGTCTCACATTCGCTGCAAAACGACATACTTCGACAAATACTTTTATCGGAATATATTTGAATAACTTACACTGAATCCGCAGAGGGATGTTATAGCAAATCTTCTGCTTTGTGTAAAAATATTCTGTATTTTTTTTTTCAAAATGTTAGGCCCAGTAATTTCGAGATTAGTTACCCCCCAAAAGAGTTCACCGTGTTCCAAACACGGCCGTCTTTGGGTTACAGACATATATATGTATGTCACTACAAAATTTCAGTTCAATTGGTACAGTACCTACAGTACGAGTATTGGTACAGATTAGTCCTATAAGCGTTCCGATTTTCCTTTTTTAGTAATTAACTCTTAAAAAACTTTTTTTTTAATGACAGTTATTCTGTTTATCAATTCCAATGAAATTTGTCATAGTGTGCTATATATATCTGTACTTCGTTATGATTCGTTCAAATGCATGACAATAAAGAGAAATATTGTCATATTAATTTTTATGCAAAATTGTAAAGTAGTATGATTGGCACCCCTGTGAAGAAATAACCTAGCATACTTTTTATTATATTAAGGCTGTTGATCAATTTATTTGTTCATGCTATTCCGCGAGGTACTTGCTTTGTTCTGTAACAATATATCCTATCCTAGCTAACGCTTCTTAATGGCGCCTATTATTTTCTCTTTACTATAATTAGAATCCGAAATAGGTTTAGTCACGACACTTCACGATCGCTCGAACGAACTTCGAACACGACTTTATGCAACTCTCACAAATCACCAAGTTGTATTTTGAATCGGCTGTCCTGTATTACTGTTTTAGAGCATCCTCGCTCGTGGTTGTGATTAATTACACTAAATCTTGTTTGTAAACTGAAATAATTTCCGTACTTTCTTCATGTTTGTATTGTACATATATGTATAGCTAGCTTCTTACTGCGACTTCGCCCATATAAATAAATCCAGTCCAGTATTTTCGGAGCTTATTCGATACACATATGCAATCAAATCATTCCTTTTTATAATGTTAGTATAGATATCATCCAAAAGTCTGAAATAACTTCTTTGAAACTGATGTTACAGCAACTAAAATAGTATACCTTTGTCTCTATAAAATGCTATAGGCTACCAAATACTTACCTTTGTAGTTTTATGTAGGTATAATGATTTATTACCTAATAAATTCTTATCGATTTTTGTCTCTTGTTACAGCTGAGGGGAGCCTGTCCGAATTTGCTGCACGCAAAATCCACTACACGGCGAGTAACCCCCTCAAAAAAGGTCTATTTACACCTGACACTAGGTAAGTTATCTAATCCATGTCTCTGACATTTTTATGAAAAAGTGTTTGGAAAACATTCTCAATGAAAAATGCTTAAATAATCACTTTTCATTGAGAATATTTCCATTATAGCATCGTGAATGCGAAAATGATTGAATATAATAAATTATCATTGCTTCAAAAAACTTAAATTTATAAGGTGCGGTGCACATCTCATGGAAGGTGTGTCGTATTTCTTCGGTTCGGTCTTTAAAGGTACGATAATTCGTACTTTCCATCTCCATTTCAATTAAAAGGTCAATTGTTACACAATGTTGCAACAATCAAATACAATATATCTACCTGTTTCCAGACCGCCTTGCTTACGCAACATGTACGAGAAAGCAACAACAGACCGGCTTCCCGCATCCATCCTCGATCAGTTGCGGAAGGACACTCAGTATTCGCCTTACCTACTATGCACACCTGTGTTAGGATCAAAACGAAGACGTATCTACCAGAAAGTAGACGTTGAAATAGAAACACATATTGTAAGTAGTAATTAGATATTGTCATGTTAAGTTTGATTCATCGGACGAATAGAAATCGCCAATCCACGAAGTCGAAACGATTGTATTACATTTTTTTCCCTGTTGATTATATTTATGAGGATCACGAATTTTTTAGTCAGAGCACACTATCCCTGAGACTGCGGGTATTATTCCCGTTATAAAGTTATAGAAAATAAACATTTCTATTAGCTCTGAATTGGGTGGTTTGTAAGTTTCGTTTTCTCGGATCGACCGGCTTTATATATATATATTTTATGTATGTTCCTTGTTAATTGTTGACCGATTTTCTAAATTCTTTTTATTGGACCGAGGTGGTCCCATTTAAATTTTATCGGAGTCGAACCAGTAGTTTTATATCAAAATTAAATATGCTTTTCACCAAATATTTAGTTGATATGGTAAAACATGGCCCTTTCCAGCTAAAAAACAAAAGATTGCGTATTTGAAATTTATTCAATATCTGAAAGGTGTTCTATTTTCAAAGAGTATACATATTTTTTCATAACAGTAGGTGTGTTAATCGATTTCTTATTGAATTGTGAACCAATTTCTATCAAACTAGCTGTTTCCCTGCGATTTCACCCCTTTTATAAATTATTCCAATAGTTGCGGTGCCTATATAATGCAAACAAACAAGCAAACAAATCTTTCCTCTTCATATTATATATAATATTGATATTAGATATTTTTAGTGCTACTACGAGGGTCAAACTGAAAGTTCTTAGAACTGGCCACTTATAAACAATATAATAAAAAAATAATTCTAAAATTTGAAAATATAACTCTTTGCCAATATTACTGAGTATATATTTCATTCATTTGTCATTTGTTTTACGATTTGGCGGCAAATTGAAAATTGTCTGTGTCACGTCATCATGAATTTAACACGAGAAAATTTTCGTGCAATGATTTTTTATGACTTTCGATGTCATTTAAGTCAACAAGAAAGTTATGATAGACTACGATTGGCCTTTCACGATGAAGCCCCATCTCGTGCGACTGTTTACAACTGGTTTAATGAGTTTAAACGTGGTCGCACTAATCTCACTGATGATTTACGTGAGGGACGGCCTTCTACGGCGACGACTGAAGATAACATCTGTGTTGTGCGGCGTATGATAGAGACTGACAAAAGAGTGACCTATCAACAGATTCGGACAAGCTTAGGCATCGGTATGAGTTAAGTGCACAAAATCCTCCACGAACATTTAGCGGTCAGGAAGCTTTGCGCCCGGTGGATACCTCATAATTTGACTGAGGCTCAAAAACTCCATCGTGTGGATTGGTGTCGTAAAATGATTGAAAGATTTAACGGAGGTGACTCAAATGCTGTGTTCGACATACTAACAGGTGACGAAAGCTGGATTTACTGTTATGATCCTAAAACCAAAAGACAATCTGCTCAGTGGGTGTTTCCTTTCGAGGAGTTGCCAACTAAAGTGAAGAGAGATCGAAGTGCGGGAAAAAAATGGTGGCCTCGTTCTTTGGAAGGATAGGTCATTTTGCAACAATTGTGTTAGAGGATCAAAAAACAGTTTCTGCAGAATGGTACACTACCAATTGTTTGCCACTTGTCTTGGAAAAAGTTCGAGAGAAACGACCTCGCAGTAGGATCCTCCTTCACCACGACAACGCCTCGTCGCACACCGCCAAGCGAACGATCGACTATTTGGCGACATCAAACGTTGAATTACTGGGTCACCCGCCGTATAGCCCCGACCTCGCGCCTTGTGATTTTTATTTATTTCCAAAAATTAAAGAAAAACTTAAAGGAAAGCGGTTTATGAATGCTGAAGAAGCGGTGGCTGCGTATCGCGATGCCATTGAAGAGACCCCTAAGGACGAGTGGGCAAAGTGCTTTTCCCAGTGGTTCCATCGCATGCAGCGGTGTATTGACGTGAATGGACAATATTTTGAAAAGATATAATAAAACTAATAACTGGCTAATGTAATCAGTTTTTGATTTTCTAAGAACTTTCAGTTTGACCCTCGTATTACCTACTATTTAAAAAATATCAGTATTACTAAAAAGCATGAAATATATATATTTTTTAAATAGAACCTACTTCAAACTTAAATAAAAGATAAATGTTACTTAATTCAAAAGCTACTCAATCAAGAAAATGCAATTGAAGTCGGGCGGGCGGAGGACGTTGCTTCTATAGGTTATTAATTTTATTTTTTTTTAAGTGGGTTCTATTTTCTAGTATTTTTTAATATTTTTTATATGACATAAAAAATAACAATCTAAGATTACTAACGATTTTAATTAGGCAATGCAATCTCGTTCACGCGAGATCACGGCCTTTCTAGCGAGATTGATCTCGGTTGAAAAATGCGCGAGATCTCGCGAGTTTAACGAGATTGTACTCGAGCATAAAAACGATTTATTCTTAGTGTGGCAGCGTGAATTTATGCGAGTCCGATAATAAGACGAATAGCAAAGATTCTTTGAACATTTTGTGCTTCTTAAGAAACTACTTTCAAAATTATTCGTAATAATGACGCGTGATGTGAATCGAATAAGCCTTAAAAATGATTGGTGTATTTTGTTAATTTATTCTCTAATTTCTAACAGATCTCTGGGTACACATAGTTTTCTTTTATTGATAATAATCTCAGTTTAATAATCCATTCAACTTAATGAGTAAAATTTTATTTTTATATTTTTGTTTTAAAAAACTGTATATTACAATTAAACTTTTCTTTGACATTAGCAGAAAAGACTTGTTGTTTATTTCATTTCGTGTTTGATTAGATACGTCAAAGTTTAGTTTCTTAAAAGATTAGTACCTGAATGACTAAGCTTTACTCGGCATTTTTATAAAATAAAAAATTAAACCTAACTAAATCGATTTATCGCCTCTGTATAAGCCCCTGCATACTTAATGTTATGAAAATTGTTGGAGCCGTTTCCGAGATTATATTACAGTAATTGCTCTTTTAAAGGTATTACATTAAAAAATATAATTATGTCCAACAATAATAAATAAATAAAACTTTATTCAAAATACCCGAATAAATAAATGTTCATTTCATCATACGTGTAATTCCTGTATTTTTTCCTAATTTATGCAAATGCAATAATTTTCTTTATGTTCTTTGTGTATTTAGGTTTTGAAATGTTTTATTATTGTCATCAAAATGGAAACAGGATGTCAAAGTGTTCTGACCTGTTCAAAATTTGCTGTTCCAGCCAGCAGTTGTAGAGCATTTACGGAAATGGACGTCGAAAGAAGCCATCGGAGACGTAACCGCGTTACCGGACGCATCCGTACGGATAGCGAGCAGTGTAACACTGACACCGGACGAGCTGTCCGAGTGCGGCTCCGGCGATGATGAACCCATCGACCATCGGCTGCCCAGTCCTGACGAGCAGTTGCGGGTCATCGCCTCAAAGTATGTATCTGTCTACAGTGATACGATTATATCTCAAGGGGTAGGCACGAAATTTACTTGCGTTATCACTTATGTCATTAATTATGGGTATGTGTGATCTTAATCCTGCCTGATACAGTTAGGGCATGGATACCGGTATACCGAAACACCGGTATACCGGACAATTTTTTCGGTATTTTGATACCGGTATTTGAGGATAAAATACCGGTATTTCGGTATTTAAAAAAAGCTAATATCCAGTCTCATCACTAATCATGTGACGCGCACGCCGAGCACGCCACTTCCTTTCCCTCCCTCCGCCCGCCGCCGGCTCGCAGCTTTCTCAGTCAGTTCTGCTGATATTATTGAAGCGAGAGCACGTTGCCGTTTGTTTACTACTCTAACTCCACCAGCTTTTTAAAATGGAGGTACTAGAGGCAGATTTTTGGATGCAGCTTACAAGTACCTATTAAGCATTCCTCCCACCAGCGTTGAATCAGAAAGGGCGTTTTCATCTGCAAGTTACATTTGTAACAAAATAAGATCATGGTTGAACGACGCAACTTTGGACGCATTGTGTTTTCTTCGTTCAATTTTACAACAAACGCGATCTACCTGATTGAGATTTAAGTTGAATTGCGCCTTTGATATAAATAATTTTAAAATAAGTAACATCATTTGTAATTTGATTTTGTTTGAAAATTTTGTAACTTACATGTTATAAGTTCTATTATTATAAGAGAGCTGATTGTGATATTTGTGCCAATTAAACAATAAATGAACGATACTAGAATCAAAGAACGTATTTTCTTTAATATATCTTAATTAATAACCTTACATTAATTACCTACTATTTTTTTGATTTCTAGGGAGTGAATAGTTTCAGTGTTTTTACTTTGGAGACTTACTAAACGTTCTTTAAATTATTTAAACAGTAGTTACTGTTTTTTAGCAATAATTTCAAAATATACCGAAAAAATACCGAAATACCGGTATACCGGTATTTGAAAGTCTAATACCGGTATCAATACCGGTATGAAAATCATTCCGGTATTCCATGCCGTCATTATTCCTGAGTTCTAAAATACTAAATGCCTTAAGAACATAGTACTTATGTGATGTTCTCTAACGTTTATTATTATCACTTTGTATTAAGAAGCCACTACATCACAATCATACTCAATCAATATAAACGGGGCTGTAGTTGTTTTACTTTAATTAAATTACTTTCAGATTTCCTCCGGAAGTTGTTGCGATCGACACATCAGGAAAATTCTTCGACAGAATGTGCAGCTCCCGAAAGTCGCTTGTCGTAGAAAGCATCGGAGAGACGGACACAGTGAAACGACGCACGCGTACTAGAAAACCTCGGGGTAAAAGACGAAACACCATTTCGGGCACTGATCAGAAAGAGCTTAGAGAGGCTATAGCTGGGTAAGCTTTTAGTCTGCACAGTACACTCACTCATATTGATAACATTATCTATCACAATCATTAACTATTCATTTAAAATAAACTTAGATAATGTTATCTCTCATTGAATCAATTTAACCTTTCTGCACAGTAATGTGTGGATAGCTTTTAAATTCAATAAAAATCTTCAGCACATTTTAACATTTCGTCGATAATAATATTTCGTGCTTCTGTGAATACATTTTGTTTAACATTGGCTGTCATTGTTTTCTTTAGTTTTACAAAGTGGTACAAAGACAACCAATCATTTGTGCACTTGAACACTAATAGTGTCATTTGTTCATTAGCTTCATAATTAATTACATCTTGAGTAGCACTGTTGTAACAAGACAAAGCAGTGTTATTTAAAGATTTTACAAACATAGGCCCTTAGCGTGTGACTAATGCTTTGCTTGGTTTGTTCTATCATAGTGATACACCAACAGCAGAGGCTTCCGAAGAAATTGAAGACACTACAGTCATCAGGTCGAGATCTAGCGACTTACTTAAGAAAAGCCCTATCGATCCAGTTACTAAGAAAAGTCACTTCAATAGTTTAAAGCAATGGGGCAAGAACAGACTAAAGATGATTGGGAGATCACCTAGTACCAGTAGAGATAGTTTTAAGGATAATTCAAAGACAGATAAAATTAGAGAGTCAAAGTCTCCCGTTAGACAAGAAGACACTGAAGTACAAGAAACAGTCACAATGCGAAAGAAACGGTCAGGTGAAGAAGACCGGCGGACGCATCAAAGATGTGCCTCATACTCTTCTTCAGAAAAAAGTATAGGTATCCCTGTAAGTTTACCGACTACTGCAACAATAAATACTGGTGTAAAATTAAGAGGAACATCCACACAGAGAAGATTAAGAAGATCAGGAATTGGCAAAGATGAACCTCATTCTTCAAGTGGAAATTGGTCAGCTAGCTCAGAGTCTGGTAGAACTAGTATTGGCTCTGAAATTACAACCACAACGGTTCCGCCTAAAAGCACTACATCTGCTGCAACATCCAATAATTCTCTCAATTTTCATGGGCATGGTCCCCCTAGTTCAATAATTAGTAGAAGAAGATTTTTAAACACTTCAGGCTCAGGAAGCGTAACTAGTGAAGGAACTCTCACTCCTGATATTATTCATGATTTACACGAAGATTTGGAAACGAGTTCGGAATTTTCATGTGACACTGAAGGGTATTATACGTCTTTTCATATGGATTCTGGCTTGAAAACCTTAAAAGAAGAAGAAATATCACCAGGCACTCCATTGCATACAAGTAATGCTTTATCCAACTCATCTAACAGCCAAACAATGACTGCAGAAAATGAATACGAACTATTTGGTAAAGGCTCTACAAGTACTACCACAAGCAGTGCTGGTACGGTTTGCACAACGTTAATGGCTGCTGGAAGCGATCGATCTTTAATAATAGGTCCAACAGTCCCTGAAAGAAAAAGCTCATTGACTAAACTTAATCGCATTCGAAGTAATAACATACACAGTGCCAATGCTAGTTTAGAAAGAAGTATGAACTCAACATTTACAAAATCTTCTTTTAGCAGCTTACGACACAATGCCATTCGTACGTTCAATGATAAACAAATAAGCAATCACTCGTCGCCAGAAATAAGTGCAACAACTACGTCGACTATAACTATTACGAGCAATGTTGGTAATCACAGAGAAATAACTGCTGTCGCCGAAATTCACACCGAGACTGATTTTGAAAGTGCCAAAAAAAGTACAGGAACTAGTTCACCGGACTCAGGACATAATACGTCCAGTTCACCAATTGAGGACTCGGTATCTAGTGCTCATGGAAAAAATAGCCTTTCCGAACAAGACTATTCAGAGTCCTCGGATTTAGAAGGAACAGACAGAATAGAAAGGATTAGATTTAAAACCACTATAAACAGTTCTAGAATACCGTCTCTCTGTGTTATAACTCCAACCAATTCTGATGATGAAAGTGAAGCAAGTAGCAAATCAGAAACAGAGAAAAAATCCGATTCTGATAAACCTAACGAAAATTTAACTGTTATTAAAAAACCAATTAATCGACCTAAATTAGAATTGCCAGTTGATATTAAAATTCCAGAAAGCCACAAATCGAGCAAACCCCACCCTCCGATAAACTTAAAGCCATTTAACAATTTAATGTGTAAATTAAAAGGAGTACTTCCACATAAATTATCAAATAAAAAGTCACCGACAGTCAAAGAACCTGAAGGTAACGAAAACTTATTTGATTCAGGTGATTATGTCACAATTGCGGATGTCAAAAATAATAACCAAAAAGTCAACCTTAACAGGGGAATTTATGGAAATAATGATACTGTTGGAAAAAATCTACAAACTGTTCTATCGGGAAAACTTCCTGAAACTGAATATGTGTCACTCAATGAATTGCCAAACTATCTTAATGTAAGTAAAGATTTCTTAGATAACAGTATTGATGAGAAACCTTCGCCAGTATTAGAAGAAATTCAAAAGAAAGGAGCTAAGGTAACCTTAGACTCTCAAGGCCAAGTAATATACTCTTCTGATACATTAAAACGAAGAAAAGGCGCTCACACGACATTTGAACCCGGTCCATTTGTTCAGGAAATAAATCCCACTACAAGCGTAATACAGCCTGAAATGGCTAATGTAGTAAAAATAACTGACGAAACAGATTTCCCTTACGAACCTGCACCATTATGTACCAGTAAACCAACTTCGCCGCAATTAGGAAAAATGATTATAAAAGCACCAATAGAACCAGATGGTCCTATTACTACAGAGTATATTGCTTTACCCACGCCGAAACCTAGTACAATAATTACAGCAGCACCTCTAACCGATTCGTCAGTTTTAACTAAACAACCTACAAGCAAAAATACTCACGATCTACCGCGAGTAGTAGAAGTTATCACTAGAACTGGCGCCTATGTTAATATTCACGACGCAGAGGGTGTCAGCTTATCCCCGACGAAAGACGATTTAGCAGGTAAGAATCAAATTTGCTCAACATCAGTAATGGAAAACTCGTGTATTACAATAGGTGAACTACAGAGTTCAGAACAGTCTTACACAAATATAAGTAATGATGATATTGTACCGTTCGTTCCTAATTTTCAAACGCCTATCATGTTACAAAATAAAAATCAGTCAGAGTGTAATAATAAATCTGTTAATAAAGTTACTGAACTTATGAAGATGTTTACTGGAAAATTGAACGTCGATATCAATGATATTGTTAGTTCCAATAGTAATGATATAATACATTCTAATAGTTTATTCGATAATGGTCATACTAAATCTTTGAATAACAAAGTCAAACGTAGTGATAGTTATAAATTGGCAAATTCACCTTTAATGCCAATCAAAAAGTTACTCAAATTAGATTCATTTGCTAATAACGCAAAAAAAGTAAATTCATTCGAAATGATTCAAGCTGAAATAACAGCTGACTTGTTACGCGAAGAAATAAACTATCCGCCTACTATATCTCCTAAACTTAGTCATAGAAATGTGAATGATTTAGATAATTGCGAATGTAGGAAGGACGATGACACGTCCTATGTGGATAATAAGTTTGAGTCCAAATTGTCTGCATTAACACTAAGTCCGTTTACTACCCCTTTAGCAAAACGTCATTCAGTAGCTCTTGTACCCGATAATAGAGATACATCAATTGATATATTATCTGCTATACTAGATTCTGATCCTGACGAATTGTGCGTGTTACATTCCCCACCTGGTTGTCCCTTGTCGCCTTCAAAAGTAACCTTACCTTTCGATAGCTCTAAACATAGAGCTAGAATCCTATCAATTTCGGAATCTGATTACGGTACCGAAATTTGGTGACAATTGGAATTTTATAATTATGACATAATTAATAACAAATTGTTTAATGACATTAATATTTTTGGTTACCTTTTCTTTTTTGCATCTAACGTTCACGAAGTTATAATTTATGAATGATTTAATTTATAAGAGTTAACTATTATGTAGACTATTGGAATTGATTCCGTCCTATATTCTTATACTTAATTGTCTTCCGATTCTACTTTGTTACTTCTGTGATATAAATTTCTGTAACTACTTTTATTATAAGACGAAAATCATTAATAAGGGTGTATATGCTTTATTGTATCAGTATTCTATAAAATATAGTCTATGTTGATAATTATGTTTTATAGTTTTTAAGAAAAATCAATATGCATGGTGGCTTCCTTCACCTTACAAATGCACAGCTTACGAGTGTTTTATGCTTCGTATGTAAGTGCATGGTGTGTTATTCTATGTTTTGTAAATATTGTTATAATAGAATTATTGTGAATCAACTTATTCATTTCATTTAATTCGACTCCTTTGACTATCATCCTCATTTCACTCATTCTGGCACAGCGCAAACGGCGTCGCAATTTTAAATCTTCACCCGTAAATTTAAGTCTCATTTTTCTTCAATCTCCTTTCGTTTTGGTGAATGAATAATGGAACTTGATTAACACTGTGATCAAAAAATATTGGTGATATTGATGTTATTTACAACAAAAGGAGTTTTGTTGTAAATAAATTCAATAATTACATATGGGTATAATAAACACTAATAAATAAATACAACTGCACATAAATGTCAGCTCCATAACATGACTAATAATGGAATAAAAGAAAAATCCTTTAGGTGCACACTAAATTAATACTGTGTTCTAAATCCAAAGGTATAAAGTTTATTTTTAAATGCACTCATCTCACATCGCTTTGCACAGTGAAGGAGATTGCTTCCAATTGTTACGACTTGTTAACTACAAAAAAAAACAGGTAAAGTTTTGTGTTGCTTTTTTGCATGTTCTGCGGCTCTACCGCGTAACTATAAGTACAATATTTCGGCCTTACCTGCGACATCAACTCATTTTCACGTCTGAAGTTTAATTTCCGTTATTCATAATTCTAGAAACTAAAATTCAAACATCAAAATGAGACCGTGACGTTTGATGTGTGAGGTAATGCAATGCCAGAAACCGAGAATCAAACTTGAAATTAAGCTCTGCCCTGACACTTGAGGTATCAGATAATCGGAAACACGATTTACGTTTAGTTACGCGACAGAGACGCGGTAAATTTATGGTTATTTTTACTAACTATTTCTTAAAATTGCATTAACAAACAATACAGCTGGGCTGATATGTTACACTAACTATTCTTCATCTGTATGATTAAAGTAACAACAAATTTCTATCGAAAATCAATTAGTTTGATTTCCGTACTCTCGGAAATCAATAAGTTTGATTTCCGGAATTGGGGTCGATTGACCTTTTCTATTCTTTATACAATATATTCGTAACTAATATCTAAAACAAATGCCTAAATAAGTAACTATAGCATACACTAAACCACTGGTCCCTTACTAACTACTTATTATGTCGATTTCTTCACTTGTAACTATTTCCTTGTTTTTGTCCTGGATTATTATGTTAATCACATTCAACATACCATAATGATAAAAAATCCGAGATAAAATTAATATCTTTCTTTAGAATCTAATTAACGTCAGATGCATACAGTGGCCATATTGTGAAATGTATAATAATTTAAAAAGGGTAAAGAAATGATATACCATGCACTTATATTCATTTTTTAAAGAGTAGATCCATATACATTTTTTAAGTTAAAATTTGTTATAGTTTTAGACGCTTTTATATTTTAGTATGTAGCTCTAAGCTTTTGGGATCGGTGCCAATGTAAATTGTTTATCAAAATATGTTTAAGTATATATATTGTATTGTTATTCATATTGTAATTTTTTTTATATTCAGTATTGTCGTTGCAAAATTTTATTAAGAATTATTTTTCTTTTGTAGCCATAGTTAATACAATGCAACTCTCCAATACATAATCAGGTCGCTGTTTTAATGTTTTGCGAAGCTTATAAAAGCATAGGAAATGTATTGTTTGGCATGTTACGTTACGCCCAGCTAGTATGGTTCCAATATTTTACGTAGAAAACAAATGCATTTTTTTTTTGTTCATGATATAATATTGGAATTGCTTATTTAGATACTTTCATAATGTTGTAGATTTGATAGACCTATAAAACTCCATGAAATGTAATGGATGCTTCATGGTAGGTCTATAAGAGTCAATTTTATTATAGTCTATCCATCAAGCTAATAATAATAGATAATAAGTTACCTATTATCACTGTAGCTGTGCATCTATAAAATTATTCATCTAATTTCAGACTATCGACGTTCCAGCGCTGACAAGCCCTGCACGAATGCACCTCGGGTCATGGGTACAGGAAAAAGTCCAACTGTAGATTTAAATGCAATTAACCCAACCCTACACAGATATCATACTGCACATCTCTGTGGTAGACACGGTGTTGTCAACTACGAAACCTCATCAGTCCCACAAACAGAATCAAAATTCTGGACGTTGCCAAAAAGAAATACCCTGGATCAAAATACATCTCGACTGAATTGTTCTCCTAATACAGACACACGTTTTCAACCCGAACAAAGATGTAAGCCCAAAGCAGCGTACACTAATGACGAATCTATTAAAATATCACCCATAGATCCTCGAACAACGGGTTCTTTTAAATCTTCAACACCGTCTAATAAAGAAAACGTGCTTGATCTAGGCACGAAATTAATGTCACCGGTAAAATCTACAATGACAAACGATGAACTGTATGCTGTAATACATAAAAGTAAAAAGAAACTAAATATCAAAAACACGCCAGAGAGGGCTGAATCTCCTGCTTTATCTACAATTAGTTTATCACCAGTGAGTTCCGAAACATCAATATATACAAAAGGATCCCAAAAACATCCCGAGACGGGATATTTAGGAGATCCACGTAACAGAATGAGCTGGTCGCCTGCTGAAAAGCTTTATACGCCTGTTCCGGAACAGCCTACTTATAATTTACAAAAACAAGAATCTACTTGTGCAGACAGATTCGGACCTTTACCACAAACTTCCAGACTGGACTTTAAAAAACTACTCCTACAACATAGTGTAAAACTCAATGCTCTACATACACAACCAAAGTCAAATAAGCTTTCGGCAGTAGAACAATTAAAACTTTCGAAAGAAAAAGATCAAGTTCCTCTTATGCCTGTACAATCATCCAATAATAATCGGTCCCAGGTGAATATACTCGATTTGAGCGGATCCCCAAAAACCTATACTCATAGAAAAGTAATCAAAGCTAATCCCCAGCCAGCGTCACCTGGAAGGACAGGTGCTATAATCAAGGAACATAAAAATAGTCCCAAAATTTTGCTCTCTCCAAAATCACAATGGAGATTTTCAAGTCCAAGATCCGATGTTTTATCCACCCCCATTCCCGAAGTCTACAACGAAGATGAACAGTCTAATAGTTCTAGTGAAAAACATGATGTCTCTCCTAATCCTCCCAAGACGATTCCTATTGTAACAAATCAACACTTTGGGGCCAGAAGAAACCTTATTCCAATAAATGAAAATATATTTGAAACCGATAATGAGCCTTCGCCGCTAGTGGATCAAGGTGTGTTTCCACTGAATGCAGAATTTGCCAAGTCACACGGTCTATCTAGAACGGAAATAATGCAAGCCAAGCGAGCAGAATTTTTCAATAGATCCCCAGAATCGTCACCACCTAAATTCACTTCTTTCAGAAGTCCAACCACGGCTGGTCCGTCGACAGTAAACTCTCGAGGTAAATCCTCTCCAGATAGAGGGAAAATTTCACCGACTACACTAGAAACAGCATTATGATAAAATATTCAACATAAAAAGCGGTGCTTTATAGTTTGACAATGTAAATATTTTGTATGGAGCAATGAAATTGATAGAAGCTTTAATCTAGTCCTTTCTTGCATAATGTGCCATTTATGCAGGCACTGCATGGTCAATCAGTGATAGAACTACTTACGATGAATATGGTAATCAGCTCAAAGACGTTTTTAATGCTCTAATGGGGCCAATTTTGTTTTGTATAAATGATAATAACGTACAATATTATGTATGATTATTATGACTTAGTATGTAAGTATTTATTGAGTACACAATAGTTACTGTGAGTAGTGTTTTGGACTTTTTCAAAGTTTTTAAGTTATTGAGAAAACAATTTTAAATAAATGTGTTGAATAATTACTTATCTACAAAGAGTATTATTTACTATTAGGTATAAACCATATTATGTAAATTGAGCGAAGTGATTATGGCGAGATGTCACCTAACGGTTTCTGAATCCGACAGTACAGTAAGTAATCCGCAATCTCGGATTTTGAAATGAATTCAATTCCTCAATGTATCCATAAATCCATATAACTCTGAAACTATATGATAAAGACTCGTTAGTACCTTTGATTAATATAATCAATGCGCTGTACTTTCATTTAACTTAAAACTAAGTGTTTACTTTTTCTGTTAATTTATAAGGCAGAAAACGCCACTAGTGATAAAAGTCCGCGTATTAGCGCCACAAACTGATTTATCTCCCAAGCACGCTTGTTAACACATTTTAAATACATATATATTTCTTCATTAACTAATAAATTACAGTCAAGAATTTAGTGTGAGAGAGGATATATCCCATTAAAACAGACATTAAACTCGACCCGTTAGGTAAAATTTTATGACATCACCAGCTTATTAATCTTCAGTGCATTGACCCCCCTATGCTTATATGAAGTCGAATTGATGAATAGAGAGAATGGGCCATGATCTACCACCACAATGACCCAGTGTAGATTGAAGAGTGTCAACCACTGCAAATGCAGCTGCCTAACATGCCGTCCGAAGCACGGAGAAACTTTCACGGACAAATTTTCATTCAATTTTATTACCATCTTTTAGTTTTCTATAATAAATTAAACAAAATGTATATACTGCTAGATAAGTAGACAACAAATATACTTCTATGAAGATTCAGTGTATTCCAGAGATACTTGAGTAAACGTGATAATACACTATAATAAATGCATTAACTAATAGGTACTTAAACTTGTAATTTAATATTATCATTCCAAATAAAGCATCTAAAACTGCAGTAGGTTGGAATCACTGGAATAAATTACGAAGTAACCATAGACTGACTTGTTATCTTATTTGACTGTAGGTTATCAATACAGAGGTAAGAATATTACAAGTTTCCTAGCATAGAGGTATTGTACCTCTATGTCAGCTATTTTGATAGGCAGCTGACGTACAACTCATAGATAATTCTTGAATGCTATGAAACAGGTATTAGTTTTACTAATTCTACTAAAATGTTTTGCAAATCCAAGGAGCATAACGTTCATACTGCGCAATGAAGAGGAGTTCTACCTGTAGTGGCGACACGTCAATGAGCGCAGAAAGCTGCTCATGGAAGTTAAGATTCTTGATACTGGTAGTAAATACAGCTGATTTTATAAATGAAAGAGCGACGCCAACTTTAGGCATGTCCCACGCCATAGCTTCTCCGATAGCCATCTTTACGACATATATCTTCATGGGAATTTTAATTATTGGAGCCATTCGTGATGAATATGCATCACAATTCCTACAAACCTATGCGCTAGTTACTTGTTCTTCTCTTCACACTTACATATCTATAACTGTATTTAAAGAACTCGGAATGAGCCCACAAAAAAATGCTGCTATAGTCTTGAATGGAGTACTACCAATGCTTATTATATTTATATTATTAGCAGATCTTATAGTAATATTGTTCTCAAGCCGCAGAACTACACCAGTTCTACCGCATAGTTCCCCAGAGCCTTCACCCATAAATATTACAAATAATTGATTGTGTGATTGTCCATACCTTTCAGTTTTGTTTGAAAATTATTATTAAAGTTTGATTATATATCATTTGTATCAATATTTTGGAAATCTGTAAAGAGATATGACCCAAGCTAATATCCCATTTTATGAATAGGTAAAGAACTGTGTCAATTAGTTTGTCTGAAAGAAATAACGTTGTAGCTGTCTGTTGAAAAGAGACATGGATAAAAGGGAATTCTATTGGTTCAATTAACATAAACAGATTTTTGAGAGTATTAAATTTATTCACCTACAAATTTTTTACATTAATGTATTCACACATTTAGTCCACATAGAACATAGAAATATAAGATAAACAATCAACCTAGTTTAAAGCTAATTCTAGGTTAAAATCAGGTTTGCTGATTTTAATTAAGGACACCTTATTTTACTCAGTCATTATCATGACTAAAATAACACATCCCTCATATCTGAGGGATGTGTTATTTTAATGTTTGCCAAAGTAAGTTTATCATTCAAAGCAGTCAAATTATGTTAGGAGCACAATTTTAATTTTGTAAATGTAATTAAATATATTCCATATTATATAACAATTAAGATTAGTGTGAGAAAGACTACATAATAAATCTGGTGTTAGCTGAATACATGGCTTTTGTTAGATTGATTGTAGAAAGTTTTAATCAATGCCAGATTGATAATCTATTAAAACCCGCAAGCCTTTCGGCAACTCTTACAATAGGTACCCAATTTGCAAAAACAAAAGCCTTTCTTATAATTGCTCAGGGTTATGAGAACTCTGAGCAGACATTAGAAGAGGAGAATATATTAATAAGAAATAATACAATATTCTATGGATTAAAGTATGTTTCCCAGCATAAATATGTAAATCCTGGCAACTTGGAAAGTAAAAACTTTAACCACTTCATCTGCTTACAAGCTAATGGATGCCATTAGAATATATAATCAAATAAACACTTGCCTGTTAGTAATGGATTTGCATGGTAGTTAATGGCCCATTTTCTTTATTTGAATCCATCCATAGAGAAGGCTAACTAACAGGGCAGACATCAATAGGGGGATGATGAAATACTCAACAGATATACAGTTTGATTAGGTTAAAATTTTCTACACATAGATGCTTAAATCAGTCCATTCTGTGTCACTCAACAGATGATTTTAGCTACTTTACAGGTTTTATCGTCTTATCTGTATTTGTTACTTTATGCATTAATATTATGTTGTATATTACTTAGTGCTAAACACATGTTTAAAACCAACAGAAAAGTAGTTGAAACTGTTCACAAAACAGAATGGTCACTAAAACTTAATCACTATCACTATAAGTTTATAAATTTATTACACTATTTGTTCATTGGTGGTCCATTCATTAAAGGTGGTCTCATTTGACCCATTGGGCCCATTGGTCCCATAGGTCCCATGAGTGGTCCCATCATAGGTGGTCTCATTCCCATACCCATACCCATGGGTGGCATAGGACCGTGTGGTCCCATCATCATCGGTGGTGCCATAGGCCCTCCAGGTCCCATGGTGGGTGGTGGAAGCATACCAGGTGGACCTCCAGGCGCGGGAACAGGTGGTCGGGGTCCCCCTGGACCCATTACTGAAGGATCCCACGGTGGCGGAATAGCTGCACCTTTATTTCCAAACGGATTTTGAGCGATTTTACCAGCTTTGAACGCCGCTGTTGTTGCGTCGATGAGATGCTGTGCTTGTTCTTCCATCCATTTCTGATAATAAAACTTCACGTTGTCTTTGTGTTTTCTTCCTGTGCAATGTGTTTTTCTAACACTAGGTGAATCGTGAGTCAAGTATGTATCGCAATAATCACAATAATACTTCGGCATTTTTTAACCTCAAATTTGCAAGACTCCTCAAATAACGCTAAAAATGACAAATTCTATGATAACGTAGTTAACCGATGAAATAGAAATAAATAAATTGCTTTGTTTATGCCACTTTTCCTTGAATAATCAGGAAAATTAACACGAAACACGTCACGATTGTGTTTGATATTTTGCTTGACACTAGGGATTAGGGAAGGGGTGAATATATTCGTGAATGACTAGAATTCAATTCAATTCAATTCTCATATATCGATTGTAATAAAAAAATCATAAAAGTATGGTATCTTGGTCTTATATCTTAAATCTGCAATAGAAGTCGTAATATTTATCCATTAAAGACTTTTTTTAGAAATATTTGATCAGTTAACGTTATGAGGCGTAGTCTCATTCTCCGTTCTAGTATTTTCCTATTCACTTTGAAAATAAATATTGTCACATTAAGTTAAAATATTTAATTTGGCAAGACTAATATCACTTAAATCAAAGATTAAAAGTGTAAACCGAATGCTATCATGCTTATGGCCTCGCAAAGCTCAGCGCCAACGGTTGTCGATAATGAGCGGTCGGCATGACTATGGAACGTTTCTATTCGCTGGGTGCGAAGTAGGTGGGAGAACACGAATCGATCGCAGCGCGTACCGTGGCTAAAACGGAACATCTGTCCGACGAAATGTCACTTTTTACTTAAGAAATTTACATATTTGTGCATTTTAAGCAAAAATTAATAAAATGCGTCACGATACCTGCTGTGTAGTTGGCTGCAAGAACAATGGCAGAAATAGTGATAAATAAAATTATAGATTTCCTCGAGTGAGTTGGAAACAAGTACAAAATTACTAAGCTGTAGCTTCACCGAATAGGAGTATGAGTACATAGAAAAGTATGTGCTCATGTTCATGATGTAAATAGGGTATTTGACACTATCGAAAATAAGTTGCATTTTGTGGTCATCTTGATAGATAATAATCTAATAAAGCTTATTTCTTAACATCTGCAGAAAAAACATGTTTAGATTTAGTAAAATAACGTAAAGAAAATGCAATATTTTCAGGAATTTATTCAACGACGAAAACGTCCTATAATTGGTCGTCGTCACAACCAATCACGATTCTGTTTACTGGCCTGTGACGTCATCAGCTGTCATGTCAAAGTAGTGTTAGAAAGATACCTACATAAAATATCGATGCCTGTAGGTATCGAGTACTTTATAGTAATTTACTGATAACAGAATACTTTGCCGCGTCTACTGATAAGAACTGCCAAAAAGCAATGCAGAAAAAAGAATCATTTACTCAGCTTTTTAAAAAATCCAAGAAATAGGGAAAACGCCAGCAATTTAAAAAATGAGCAACTTACATGTTTTTCTCATTTCTTGAAATTTACTATAATAATTAAAAATTACAAAGTCGATTTGATGATATATATACTCCATTCATTATAACATTAGAAAAAAGAGGGTCATAGAAGCAGCAGTGCAGAACATTTTATTTTCAAGATAATTTAAAAAATATATTATATTATGGTTTTGTTAAAATTTTGAAAGTTAGGTAGTCTGAAAGAGCTGGGCACTTTTCCATTTTTTACGATACTTCGGGGTTGAGATAAGGCCGGCATTTTCTTGATTGATCTTTTACTCCCAAGCTAATATGGAACTAAAACTATCTATCTGTTGTTTTGATAAATTCTAATTGTAAGTGTATATGATTAGAATAGGATTTGGTTATATCTATGCCTAGGAAAGAAAGGTAAACAAAATGAAATTTTTATTATCACTTTTCTAACAATAATGCAAACATTAGACTATTGATGAAGACATTGAAAAAACTTCGTGAAATGTCAAAGAATGAACCCTCATTCTTTGACATTTCACGAAGTTTTTCCCATAACAATAACGCTCGCTAAATATTACAACAATAAAACAATAACGCTCTTAACCCCCATACCTACCCAGGTATGGGGGTTAAGAGCGTTATTGTTGTAGGCCATGCGGGCCTGCACCAGTACATATTTAACAAAACTTAACAACAAAACAAAAATAAACCAATAACAACTTAATCACGGAAAACGGCAAAACAACAAGAAAGGCAGTAGTATTCACAATGGATGACGATCCCAGATTACGTATTTTGAGAATTATGAATACATCATAGTCTGACAAAATTAGAAAGCTATACTGCCGAAACGTTTGAAGGGATTAGCCAACATTTTAAATTTGGTAGAGTTTATATGAGAATCATGCCGAAACTATCCAACCCTGCTTCTTTAGGTTCTTTAAGATGAACACTTTTTATTGTAATAGTTATTAAATCATTTAAGTTAGTCAAATACACATAAATTTGTTTAAAAGATAGGTTAAATGACAACAGTTAAGTATAGCTGCTGATATTTAAGTGGATATGTAGCAATTTAGCCGTCAGTCTTAATAGTAACATGATTATTGATATTTTGTCACAAAGTATACCATAAAAAGGAACCTTATTTAACATCTGTCTAGTAAGCAAACAAATAGTTTTTTCTTTGCTTTCATTTTCCCAGGAAATTAGAAATAAATCTGTCAACTTCAGCGCTCGTTGGTATCTTATAAGTTACTTTATTTACCGGTCTTAGATTCGTACATTAGACAGTTCCACGTGCGAGTGCGGAATCGAAAAAGGTACCACTGATCCCATCCTCTTCAACTGTCTGAAACAACCTACTTCATATGAGCAACTTCCATGTAGTACCCCCCGTCCCATTAACCTTAATACTATCTTGTCTATTTCTAACATACCTATCTTTTTGCGTCAAGTAAGCATATTAAAAAATATAACAATACACTATAATCTACATGGCACTATCATATATTTATTGCGATATTTTTTAATTAAATTTATTAGTACAATTTGTGACGTTTGCTTTGTGTTGTACTTTTAGAACAAGGAAGGAAGAAAACTATTAAAAACCGTTTCTCACTATCCCGCAAAATTTCTGTGTAAAACGGAAAAAGGTCATTTATGTATATAAAAAAAAGTTACTTTATGCTCGTTGGGCTCGTTCTCTCTCCGTGAAACTCCCGCGTGATTTTTTATGACATGACTTATTCCATTACTTTTATGTTAAGGGGTAGAATCCACCTATCCCACATTAAAAAAGATTGCATTAAAATATTTATGTTGCACAGCGACTTCCACGGCTTCAGAGAGGCTTTTTTCTAAAGCTGGTCAATTCCTTTAACAGCAACGCAATCGATGTTTGGGGAACATCGATGGTTTTCATCGAATGTTGACTTCGATGTCAATATCGATGTTTTTCCAATATCGATCATTTCTAATTTACTCTAATGACAGTTGTTATAGATGACGCCAAACAACTTGAACAAATGACCTTGCATGCGCAGAAACCGATTTTAGGCGTCGCGGTATGCGGTGCGGGGCGCGGCGTGCGGAAGTAGGATCGCATCGACCGCGCCAATCCACGCTATTGGTGGATCAGTCAACCATCGCTTCCCGCTTTGTGTTCACGTCTCATCGCTACTTCAGTACACTTGCAGGCAATAACATCACGACCTCAAAATATGTCTCGTCGACAATCAAACACAGTTTTAAAAAGGCAAGCCAGAAAGATGGTATACGATGTGTATTGCTTTTTAAAGAAAGAAGAAACATCCGATTTTGAAACAATGAAACAGACATCGGAGGCTCGTAATTTCTCACTACTACTATACACGCAGCTACTTACTTCACGTCTATCATTCGTGTGCACGTTTACCACTCAGTCACTCATGCAAATAGGACAGAAAAAATACAGAAATAAATAGTTAACGTAGGAATAAGAAATTCTAATGCATAGGTTTTTTTGCTCGTAAGTGTACATGCGCAAACTTTCCCCCACCACCACACTTTTTGTTCAAGTTGTTTGGCGTCATCTGTACCATGAAGATAAAGGGTATGTTCCGATATACACTGCGAGCTCTGCGCAGTGGTCTTACTGCTGAAAAATCCGTTCCGTTATGGACTGCCAGTACACTGCTACAGTACCGTAGGGAAATTTATGACGTCATGAATTGCCGTCATATTTGTACTGTGAGCACTGGAGATTTCGAGGTGCAGTGCTCGCAGTGCTTTTGATCACGTGATCAGTCGAAACAGATAAAATAAAATACTTACATTTATTATAAGATGGATTTGATTGATAAATAATTTTTTTATACAATTTTCCAATTTTATAATATTTTCTTTTGAAAAGAGGGAATCTTTATATTTATATTCACCTTGCATTAACAAATTTGAAAATGGCGCCAAAAATAGGATTAACAGTATACTAGACTGCGTTCCGTTTTAAAAAGTCACCAGTATAACTAGCTATAAAGGAACGGGCTTCCAGTATACTAAATTGACGTCATACTGTTCAGTGGTCGCAGTGTATATCGGAACATACCCAAAGTATATTTACTGGCCTGTGACGTCACGAACAGCGCCATTACATAGAGCGTTTTTCGCGCGCTTTTGGCTATTTAAATTTTAACAATTATTTTCACCAAAATTAGAAAAGATTCCAATGAAATATTATGACAGCGTGTTTATAATGTAGCAAACAACGATTTAAAATAGTTTTCAGAAAAGTGTCAAATACCCTATTACAGTTACGTAAAAGTGTCATTTTAAAGAATTTTTCATATTATTTTCCTTTGTTTATTGTATCTAAAATATTTTTTTTGTGCCAAATTTTGTATGAAATCTAGTTGAATAATCAAATTTTAATGTCAAAGTTATAGCTATATATAATCAAACAAGATGAAATAATTATAAACGGACAATTTATTATTATTATTATTATATAGTAAATATCTGTAGCCTTCGAGAAGTAGTGATTATATTTACAATTTGAAATTTTATTGTTAATGTTGTAGATAATTGTGTACTAGTAGTATGACTTTATAATTATATGCAATCGGGTCTTGTTCGTGCATTTTTTAAAACAATTAATTTACCTCGACGTTTCGGCTACGTTACAGCAGCCGTGGTCACGAGGAGACTGGAGAACTGGCGGGTGTCGTCTTCTGATTTTAGTTGAGGGTAATCCGGTAATAATGTTTTTAACTGATTTTCAGATGTACCCTCCACTTGATTTTATTATACGTAAAGGTGGCGACACACTGCACTTACGGTATCCGAGAATATTGTTCGTGGTTGTTTGCGATCGCGACACTTATACATTTTTATAACCGGATTCCACGTTGGTGAGAGTTTATATCCACTTTCCCGGTTGAAATTGTTGTGTTTTTTGATTTCAACCGCTTCACGAACAATCCTTGGATAGTAATGTCGTTCAGTGGAAAGGACATGAGGTGTATGTAACTCGATCCAGTGGTTTGATCCAGATGATAATAAGTGCTCTGCAATCGCGGACTTCTCCACTTGACGATTTTTGACCGCTGCTATGTGTTCTCTTACACGTTCGGCGATAGTCCGCTTCGTTTGTCCGATATATGAACTACCGCAGCTGCAGTCAATTTTATAAACGCCAGGTTTTTGGTAAGGAATACTATCCTTTGGTGATCGCAATTGGTGTGACATTTTTGATAAAGGAGTAAAAATGGTGTCTATAGAAAAATTTTTCCTCAAAATGGAACCGATTTTGTCCGTTACTCCCTTAACATAGCCTAAAAATGCCCGTTGCCTGGGAACCTTAGGTAGTCTTTCCTTACACCTTCGGATAGGGTATGACCTCCTTGCGCTGTATCCATATAATTATAATGTATACAAATCGTGTGAGTTTAAAAATATTATTAGTAGTATGACTTTTCTATTCCATAATTGATTGTGGCATTTTAGACTGAAAATAAAAAAGATCAACAGTATTAACGACACCTTAGGTTTACATA